AAACGTGGGTCGAGCCCACATGGGTGTTCACATCACGGGTGATCAGTGACAGCTTCTGGGGCTAAGCCACAGCTCTCTGCTGGAGTGCAGAGCCAATGTCTCTCTCTCCTGGAGTTCCTGTAAATCTTGCCTTCTGCTGTTTACACTAGAGCTGTAGCTAATGCTAAGAGGGGGCTGCAGCCTCCATCTGGAGGAAGCATCAGATGGTTGGTTCGGATCAAGACAAAGAGTACACGTCCCATATCTCACATTAAAGCGTTACATGACCATCCTGATCATACACCACCTTAAAAAATAGTACCTGAATATATCTGGGCAAAAACTGAACAGACCGTTGATTTATTGACGTCTCCTAATGAAATTATATTATTCTTTAATTTTTAATAATTAAAACATTTTATGAGGCTCAAATGAAGGACAAAGATGATGTAAAGAATATGAGGAAATCAGAATACTAGTTTTGTTAGTATGTTTCCGAGAGCTGCCTAAACATTTATTCATACCGATTAATTCAGAAACATGACTTCAATCATCTGCACTTTTATTAAATATGGGTCAGGTTTTGTGTCGGTTTTTTTTTTTTTTTTTGTAAATTCCATTTTTCACAGCACAAATTCAAATTACAATCCATTGGAAAATCTAATCCGTGTGTCTTCGGTCCTCACATTGATTCCTTTGAAGTGTTCTATAAGGGCTTTTTACAGTGGGAGAAATTGTTGCGTGAGTGTGGGAGCCATCAGTGATGTAACAGCAGAGTAAAAGGAAAGACAAAGGTTTGCTTCACGTTTTCAGCCATGTATTTGTGACTCAAACCACTGTGGAAACACTGATTGTTGAAGTACGGTCAGTTTTAATGCAGCCAAACAAATGACCATATATTTTTTTGGTTTTCTTTACAATCAATTGTCTGCTAATACACATTTGTATTCTGTGAGATTTAACAGAATAAAAGACACCTTTCCCAAAGGCCTCATTTTCTAAGAAGCTAAAGGCTTGAGCTAAAACAGAGATTCAGTAGAATGCAGATACAGAGCAGGAATCCTGGATCAGTTGTATGGGAAAAGACAAGTGTCCTTGGGAAAGTGAGTTGTGTTGATAAGCTACCCAGGGATTCCTGGAATGGAAATGGGTTGAGTCGATCGATCGGAAAAGGGTAAAAACCCCGAGGCGGTGCAGAGGTGGTGATGGGAGGGGAGGGAGTTTGAATGATGGTATCTCCATCATTGCTCTAATCCCCCATAATTCCTCTGACCATCGAGCGGTTTGGAGAATGAACGCGTGCTTTTACCACCGACTGCCCCAAAACACATAAAAATAGAACTTTATCTGTGATAATTAATGGATACCACAGTAGAGAGGACTACATACATACGTACATATATATACATATATATATATGACTGCAAACATGTTTGTGAGTGCACACCCTACACTGGATGCTAACTGCATCCTGAATCACAATTCTCTTGTCACATCATTGTGACAACCATCCACCAACAGAGAGGGTGTTGTCTTCTCTGACCAATCAGAGAGGCTGAGCCTGTCTCTTTCTCCGCTCTGACGTCAAGCAGATGAAAGCAAAAGCAAGGAAAGAGCCAGAGACCAGGGAAATAAAAAGGCACTGATTGTTAGTGAGTCAGAAAAAAAGGAGAAGGACAAAAGACAAGTTGAACAGGTTCTGGATGTGAGGTGTAAGAATGAAGGGATGAAAGGGATGACAGTGGAGGGTAAGGAAGAAAAATACAGAGACAGGATTATTGGCAAGAAGGTGTCAAAAAGTAAATATAAAGAATATAAAGTGAGAATGAAGCGTTTGTGCCTAAAAGTCAGAGCAGATGAAAGTGACACGCCGACAGTCACCTAAGATTTCCTTTACGGCTGACAGTGTGGAGGAAGTGTGAAGGCTGTGCATTTGAACCAGCTGTCAAATGAACATTCCCACATTTGGATGATGTCACCTGTCCTTCTCCTCGCTCTCCGTCTGTCCCTCTATCTCTGATCAGCTGATACTCACGCCCTTCCCCCTCCTTTTCCCCCCTTTTCACCAGAAACACTGTCAAAATGAGAAGAGACCTTACAGTGAATGTGCAAGTACACATAAGGACTGCAAAAAGTATTGACACAAAAAAATTAAAATATTATCTTAGTAGTGGTGAAAATACTGGCTTCAATCTGTTAAGGCACTCACTGATTACAGAGTCAGATGCAGAAATGGAATGATTATACTGTAGTCACTCAAAACAATAAAGCAAACATTTAATCAATGGAACTTAAAAGGATGGAATCAGACCATAAACCTGTGCTACGACCTAGAGAAGGCTGTGTCCAGGAGGCTAACCCACCTTCAGTGGTTTTACATTAGTGAGTTAAAAAAGGATAAGTCAGAATACTAGATGTCAACAGACTTTTACCCAAAAGACCAAGTGCTTTTATACCAATAAAAACCAGGAGCAACTCGGGGTTAAGTGTCTCTTCCAGGGAAACATTAGCATGTTAACTACGTGAGGCTCTCGGTCTGATTGCACTGCCAACTGCGATAATAGCCTTTCCTGGTAATTTCAGCTCATGCACAGTCAGTCCAGAAGAGACAAACACACACTAACATGTTCTTTAACATGAATAGAGGATGAGTCATGGCTGCCAGCCCTTACTGTTACCGTGAGAGCTCTAGATTTCAGGGGCAGCAATTTGCATTCATCGCGCAGCAATTCATCAGCAAACTCCCCCGGTCCCCTTTCTCTCTGTGCCTTTCACCTGTGCTCACACTCCTTGTGTCTCCTTTGACCACACACACACACAAACACACACCCTCTAAGCACACAAACAAACATGACACACACACACACACAGGTAGAAAGGACGGTGTCAACCTGACTCTCATGTTGTGCCAGGCACACACTCTGTAGGACTTCGATTGGCCACCGCCAGGTGTTGAATTATGTCAGACGTTCCACACCAACCAATGACACTGCAGCTCTACAGACGACGTTATGAAACTGCTGGCCAGATTCCTGTTCCATATGTCGTCTTACAGATGAGACCGGGACGCAGTCTTATATAAAACCACAGTCAGGGTCAAAATGTCACACTGTTTAAATTGAGTAAAAGATAACGTAGATACAGTAGATGTAGAACAGGATGAGGAGTAAAAGATAACGTAGATACAGTAGAACAGGATGAAGCTGTCGTCATTTCAGGTCAAACCTGATCATGTTTTTGTTCTCTGCAAGTGAAAATGTTGGGTTGAAAAAGGCAAATGCCACAGCTGAGGCAGTATACTAAAATAAAAGATCCACTATGGCTCCCTTTGAGAATGAAATCAAGCAGAAACCTAACCTTTATAAATTGTACATATTCATATTTATAAACACTAATATAAACAGCATGGTGGTTATTATCCTGCCTGATCTACTGTAGCCTTTGCTGTAACTGAGGTGTATCTTATTTCAAATGATTGTTTTGAAAATTACACCACATGTGATTTGTAAGTAATGTAGCGTAGGTTTAAGGGGCAATTTAAAAAATACAGAATGTGACCAGATGTGTTACCATGCACTTATAGTGCATTTATCTAATGTTTAAAATGGCTTAATGTATATGTAAAATTTCTAAAAAATATATATTTTCTTCTCATGACTTTTGATCTCAACTTTGCAACTGGAAAACTACAGTTTTCTTTGGTTTTATTGCAGTATGTGCGTGTGTGTAACCAGGAGGAGGTGATGCGCTCTCCATGGTGCTGAAATCGAATGCGTTCGTTTTAAACTCTGTTATAATATTTATATATCTATTGATTTGTTGTTTTTGCACTCCCTTTCTCTCAACAGCACTTTTAAAAAAGTTCCACCCAATTTAATCACGTGATGTCTTGTCCTGTCCTCCAGCCAATTAACTCCGAGCAGCACGTCTTCTGGAGTGTTCTTTACAAAACCCTCAGCCAGGCACACCGACAATGATTAGTAGATTTAGGTTTGACAGTGAATGCTGTAATCTATGTTCATCGTCCTATCAGCAGAAAGTATCACCTTTCATTCTCCTCCTCTCTAACAGGCGCGCGTGTTCCACCTAGTGGAACATTTCATATAACTCTATACTGTAAATGAGTTTGTCTTCGGTCCACTGACCAAACATAACACGGCTGATAAGACTGAACCCTCTGGTCGGAAACGGGTAAAACCACCAGCGACGAGCCTTCTGCTTATGCAGCTGCAGGTGATACTAACACGTGACCAAACTGCTGTGACTGTAGATAAAACGTCTTGCTCTTGTGAAATTAAATATATACATATTTTAAGCACATTCTCCCAAATTGTGCGTTTAAGATTGAAGACTTCAGTAAATTTCACTGAGCATGAAACTTATAGTAAACCAAGTGCGTTTTTGTTGTGAAAAAACTGGCATCTGTCCTGCACCAAAACAAGATGTCGTTTGAAATGTGTGTTCTGTCAAAATAGTGGATAGACAAAACAACCTTTAACCACATTTTTCTCTCTCTCACTCCCCCCCACCTCTCTCTCTCTCTCCCGTGCTCTCTCTCTCACCATGAGAGTGTTCTTCTCCGTGTGTGTGTGCGTGTGTGTGTGTGTGCATATAGGCAATAAGCTGCTCTGCCACTGCGCAACGATGGAGCTATCTCAGCGATGGAGATGACGCAAACAGCTCTCCAAAAAAGTGTTTCAAGACGAACATGGCGGCAACTTAACCGCGGTCTAAGATGACAATGGCCAGCGGGAGAACGGATTTCAGGCTTTTTGCCCAGGTGCGGGACAGAGACTGCAGCCTGCGTGTTTTGTCAGGACTGGCAGCTCTTCTTTAAGTCGACCCGCAAATCCACGGACGCGCAGCATCAGTTGCTCTCACCGAGAGACTCGCAACAGCTGGTCTCCACGCAGCCCGACGAAAACACACACCGGGGAGGAGGAAGGTTAGGAAAGGTTAACATGCGGTCAAAGAGGACGCCGTTTCCTCCCGGAGAGCCATGGAGAACCAGAATGCGGCAGCGCGGAGCTGAGTCTGTGCGGGCGCGCTAATTGGATCGGAATAGCACCAACTGCCGCGGGCGCGATACAGGAGCGCCCTGGACCGGCGGAGGCACGGCACCCCACCGCCACAGAGGAGAACCCATTGGACTCCATCTCCCCCCTAAGTCAATGAGTATTGTGGCAAAACAGCCCCCGCGGTGGAGTCGGCCAGAGCAGCACTTTTCTAAAATATGACCAGGGGTGCTTGGATGCGTCGGCAGCATGACGAAGGCTTAAAATACTGGTTTGCATCCCGGGAGAACGAGAAGCCGTTTACTGAGTCGGAGCGGGCCCAGAGATGGCGACTGTCGCTGGCCTCTTTGCTCTTCATCACCGTCCTGCTCTCTGATCACTTGTGGTTCTGCGCTGAGGCCAAACTGACGCGGACCCGAGACAAGCGGTCCAACCGAGGACTGGCAATTACGGACATGGGCGAGAACCCAAACTCCCTTCACCAACACCAACACCAACACCACATCCCAACATCACCTGACCTCCACCCTCTCGCCAGAGAGCAAGATGTTATTTTTCTAGGAAATTCTACCAAATCTCTTTGGCGAATGGACGCCTGTCGCCCTGACAGTGTGTCCAAAGACTGCTTTACTTTCACGGACGCGAGGACCGTGTGCCTGGGCCTCTCCGCTGGAGAGGGGAAGGGGACACAGTCGGCGTACGTGAATCTGAGCGATTTGTACCTGTCTTTTTGTAATTCCTACTCACTTTTGGATTTGTTTTACGGGTTTACGACTCCGGACGATATGAATTGCACCCTGGATATGGCCATGGGGGAGGATCTGCTGGGATGCAGCGAGTGTGTCCGGGCTTATCAGCGTCTTGACCTGCAGGCGGAGGAGAACTACCGGGAGTTTGAACTGCTGGTTCAGAAATACGAGACGGATGCGTACTCCGTCAGGACGTGCATGGAGGAATGTAAGGTAGGACTAAGTGAGGGAGGCTGGGACGTGTACGCGCATTCGCAAGTGCATTTAAGGGGGTGGTTCAACAGTCGTCATGGCAACCGTATCCATCATTATATTGATTTTTTTTTTGTATTTATTCTGTTTCATTTTGGCACAGACTGACAGTGAGCTTCATGTGCCGAAACATATGTGGCCTGTCAGGGCTGGCAGAGTGGGCTGCAGCTGTGCCTCCTTAAAACAGTGAAGAGGTCACCAGATAACCCCTCAACAGTTCATTACTGCCCCGCGCTCCTTCTCTTCCTTACTCTTCTTCTTCAGTATTTACTGCTTTGTTAACTACAAGTGGACATGACATATGAGACTAGAGGCTAAAAATACTTCCCCTAAATGAACCAGTACCAGGTACCAGTTGGCATTTGTCTCACAATATTAAAACACAGAAGATTCAGTCCTTCACTTGTCTTGGAACATTTAGTTTTTCTCAGGGTCAGCAGTCATAGGGTTAGTGTTAGGGCAGGATGCACTTCAGACAGTTTCCCAATCCATGACACAAGTCCATTCACATTCAACCAGAGCACCTGGGAAACCCATGCACACAAGGGGAGGAGATACACAGGAAGACTGGGCATCGAACAGTCATCTTGTAAGACCATTAACCACCCTTGTCTCTTGTCTCACTCAAAACTGCCTCAGTGAAAACAGAATTCCCCAAATGAGAACAGCAGACACAACTCCACAAGACATTTCTGGGACACAGACCTTCAGGTTAGAGACCCTGAAAACCCAGGCCTGGTCTTCACTGGTGACACTGAAGGCGTGCAAGGGGTAAAAAATCTAAAACAAACTTTTACTCACAGCGTCTGGGGCAGGGCAGCCATCTTGTTTTGAATTCAAGTGTCATGACCTAAAGGATGTTTCTATTCTTGCCAGGTTGAAACTGAACCACTGACTGATCAAAAGAGAAACAATCTGTTTCTTACATGGATTTCATTGTCAGACACTGAAAGGCTAAATCCTCTGACGTTCGACAAGGAACCAGAGGCACTTTTACCCAAATAAAAACATCCACATTACCTGATTGTATGACACATAAAACTGCAATATAAGTCTCCGCTGAACAATCAAGCCTGCACTACAAACTACAAGTATCGTAATCTGCTACAGGTCCAATCATATATATAATAATGATTCCAGAGAACCCTTATCGGGGTTACCACTGGACTGTGACTCATTTCCTCTTTCCACAGCAATTTTAATCAAAAACCAACATTAGCTCGGGTTTTTTCCAAGGCATCACTGAGACCTGTGGTTTCCCTTTAACCATTCCCAATTTCCAGTCTGTTTTAAAAAGAGAGTGTATAGGAGAGATGAAGGAAGACAGAAAGATCAATGGACTAATGTGCATTCACATACTGTTATTAACGCACAAGTGTTTTCTCAGCGTTGAATCCAGGATTCGTTGTGTCCTTAGTTTGCTTCTTCTACCATAGCAGCACCGGAGCGTACATATATATATATATATATATATCAATAATAATACTACATATTGACGTGCACATGACCTACCAACAAACACTCAAAGAGAGTGCACGCTGGTGGTGTTGTTTGTGGATGCTTCTCCAGCCTTTGTTTCCATAGAACAGTGCCACCAAACTTGTAAAACACGTGTTCATTTACTGGGCTCTGCTGCACTGGTACTGTCCTGGACTGATGTAACGTGGCACGGAAGACGTGGAGAGGTTAATTACACTGTATAAGGCGGTCCATAACGACTAGGATTTAGAAATAGTGGAACATTGTCAATGAAAGTATAGAGGGAATATAGCTGAGATTTGCAATTAGCTGGGCTTGCACTTTACCCTTCTTCAGAACATCCATTATCACACAGCACACACTGTACTCTGGTTTATCTAGAGGTTTGCTGTATTGACTCTTTCTAGGTCACATCTCCACCACTTCAGTACGCGGTCTGTTCTTTGACACACCGTACACTGTGAGAACACAGATGTTTTCATATTGAAAAAACATGTTATAAAATGATCTAAAGCCAGGAGAGCGACTACCGACATCATCGTTTCAACACTGAGGAATTCACTTTTAAAGGAAGGAAGCCTTCAATCTGACATGGCTGCACGATAAGTCATTTCAAGATGGATGTTGGATGAGGGCAGATGGTCAGGATGCTGTGATGTCGAGTGCTGATAAAATATACAGTACATACACACAGTGGTGTGCACTGTATATTTAACCAACCAAGTGTTTCATGGTTTCCCAACAAAATGTAAATAGTTATGAATTTAGTTTTATCTAAACCTACATAGAAATACGTCTACTAACTGGATGGAGCGTCTGTATTTATATGAGGTATCCATAGTGTGTTTGTGGGGAGGAGGGATACAATGGATAAACCATCATCCTGTGAGTCATACCTTATTGTTATGCCTGTTTGTCATGTATACATGAACAGCAAAAAAACATCACTTTTTTTTTGTTTTATCTGTGATGATGCTGCCCCCTGTCTGCATTGTCACATTTTGTTAAACACTTTTCCAAACATTGCTTTGTGTTTCTGTAATTCTTCCAAAAGCATTTTCCAGATAAGGGGCAGTAATGTAAAGTTTGCAAGTTTGCAAGGATTCATTTTAAAGAGAAAGAGAAGAAAAAAAAAAAGAAGGTAGATCTCAGTTACAGCATTATTTTAGTAAAATAATAATAATCCAACTATAAACACACAGCAGGACATTTACAGTATGTCGTTTTTCCACTGTGGCGACCTTTGAAGCAGCTTTGCATGAATTCTGATCATAATTCTACAATAAGGACTGGGTCTGCGTGTTGTTTAAGCCTGGACTGAGCTCAGTCCTCTACAGTGCAGCCTGTCTTCTCAGTTCAGTGTATGTGTTTTAGCAGATGACTGGATCTTTAACTTTATTCGCATGTAGCTTCAGATGAATTATTAATTGCCATTATTAATATCCTCTAACTTTACCTTGGTCGAGCTCTAACAACAACCTTCTGTAAACACACCTGTGCTGTTCTGGTGCCTAAAACAAACATGCACATCATAAAAATGGGTTTATTATTAGTCAAACAGTAAATTTCACTTATTCATCCGTGGTCTGTGTCTGCCTCTGGTGCTACGCTGCTAATTTGGGAGACAGTTCTGTGGGTTGCAGTGGGCTGACAAGACAAACAGTAGGATTAGGCTGGAGGACATGCTAATTAAACCCAGACATGTCACACTGCGTGCAATGTTCTACGAAATGCGTAAAAAATACAAAAAATAAAGAAAAGGTAAATAAATGACAGTTGAACTTTTAGACTCTTTTCTTTAGTTTACAGATGGAGCTTCAATTTTGTATGGTGAAGTGAATGTTTCCTGTTTTGTTGAAATACTGTATAGAAGTACAGAGTTAGATAGAAGTAGTCACCTTCTGATTATTGATTTTCAAACCTATGAGGTTTTTCCAAAGCCATGACCTTTATCCCCACTTTGACCCCTACATCTTGACCCTTGACATTTCATTTATTTGGTTACAAATTTTTAAATAGCAATTTATCGAAACGCCCCGTTCCAGACACAACCTGCCTGCTGTTGTTTAGTTCAGGCACAATACGTTTAGACTTACTACAGAACTGGCATCCAGATACACACAGGCCGTCGGAGCTCCATAACTACAACAATGTTTTATAAAAAAAAAGAGTTCAACAAACCATGATATTAAATTCCAAAATCTCGATCTTTAAAAACAACATTTCAATTACAACAAATTTAAATTGACCATGCTTACATAATCAATAAATACTAATCAAATATTACAACAAATTTAAATTGACCATGCTTACGTAATCAATAAATACTAATCAAATATTTTAATCAAGATTAAGTTTGATTAAGTTGTCTTTATGTACAACTTCTTTTCATAAAAAGTTCATAAGGGTGTAGCTCTCTTTAAAGATGGAGAATGTTCCCAAATTCACAGATTTTGGTTTCAAATTTGCACAATAGTAAAGTATAAAAACATTTGCAATCAACCCCTGACAGCCTGAGTTTATTTCAACGCCTGCAGACATGTTTTTGGACGTGTCCAGCTCCGTATCTACATCCAGAGCCTTCAGCTGAACATTTCTGGATTCACGGTGTTGTAGCCTTTGTATTACTGTTGCCAAGAATTCAGTTTTAACCTTTTGAGGAAGAACCTGTTGAACATGGTAGCCCCAGTGGTCTCCTCACAGCTGTTGGTCAGTGGTAAAGCTGCAGCTTTTCTGCAGTGTTCACTGCACATGCTGCAGAGCCAGTAGAAGGTGAATCAACCATCAGAAAGACTGTCCAAACACCTGACCCTGTCGTGATTCACTGGTTTTCCTGAATCTGCCTAACCACTCTGACCAAGTGTACTGCATCCATAATGTACATGTGATATACAGTAACAGAGGGTGTCGAAGGCTGCATCTTTGACTACCCCCTTAAAAATCTGCTGCAGCTTCATAACACAACACCGGTCGTTGGAGCACCAGCCTTTTTTCTTTGTCATTCCTAAAAAAAAACACTTTTAACTCTTTCTGTGATCGGTCTACATTTCCTGTATTTCTACTAAATACATATAAAAGAAAAAATATAGCAGTTACAAAAGCTATCTCTCTGGTACCTAAGGGCACACACACACACACACACACACACAAAGGAGCCCCATGTGCAGTGTTTCCTGCAGGTCCAGACCTGACTGTCCCTTCCGGTGTAATTTAATTTGCACTCCCATAATTCTCTGCTTCTCTGGCGGTGTGTCTCCAGGGCTCTGTCTCAACATGTTGATGTCCTTTCTCCCTCTCCGTTACTTTCACATCCTCTCCCTGTTTGTCTCTCTCCCATCAGTGTCAGAGTTCTGTGAAACAAACATCACACATGCACATGTGTCCAGTATCTGCCGCCGCCTTATCACTCTCCCATCCTTCTCTCCCTTCTCCCTGCGGATTTTCTCCCCATTTGCCGGCCCAGTTTTCTCTCTCGCTCCTTTTTTCTGAAAAATATATGGGTGTTGATCTGTGTTTTGCAGCTGCAGTGATAGATACTGATCTGGGTTAAGGTCCTTTCCTTCCCTTCAATTACAGACCTGTCCACACAGATCCCCGCTGTTTGTCCCCTCCCAGTGCCTCTCTGTGAATTCAATCACCTCTCCTCTGTCACTGTCTGTTTCTGCAGGACTATCCAGTTAAGCCACCATTTAATTTCTCTCCTGGCGTTTATGTGCTAAAGTAGCTTTAAACACACATGATAGGTCAAGGTAATGTATCAGATGGCAGCAGTCATCACAAAATAGGACACAGACTCTGCTAATCGCAATCGGGAAGAAGGAACAGTGCGTAAAGCTGAACCACCCTCCCCCCCCAAAAAAAGAGCAGATAGTAATAACCAGTTATTTTGTTGACTAAAATAGATACAAATTTAAGAAAATGAAATAAAATGTTATAAAAGATTGCCATTATGCTACAGAAATTCACTGCAAATGTAGACGAAATGAACAAATAGCACAAGAAGACGTTAGTCACAAACCAAAAATAGCTCCAATTTATTGGAAAAATAGAATAAAAATATCCCTTATATTAGCCATAAAAATGAGTCTGAAGATGGATACAAAATAGAAAAGATTCTCAATTCTATGCACATGGTCCTTGTACATGGCCCTTGATTAAAATTTAAATAAAAAAAGTGGCTTGGCTTTAAGGCTCTCTCCCAGCACTCATGTGGCTCTGACCCTGAAATTCAATTAGATCGCTGTTGTTTCTACGTGCATCTCAAACACTTCCAGGGAAACTCCCCTCAGTTGGAGCTGCCAGTGTTTGTTTCTCCCCTGGCAGGAGATAAGGGAATGCGTCAGTTAGAGATGAACACACCAGCAGTCCCATGGAAACGCCTCTTTGTCGTCCCCTAGTCCCCACCTAAGTACCACAATAAGTCTGTGTTTTTGTTTACTGCCGTGGGGCCTTCAGGTCCTGTCAACATATCTGAGTCATTTATTTTTCTCCATATAATCCCTGCCTCTGTGTCTTCCACTGCACACTCTCTCACTCTCACACACTACGTCCTCTTCCTCGTTCTGGTAATACACCGAGCGGCCGTGTCCATTTTCTTTGATGCATGGCGATCTGTTTGGTCACATGACAAGAAAACATCAATATTTACAAGAACTGTACAAGTGAACCAGTAGGATCTGCGTCTGCATCCGGTAATTTATTGTTGTCAGCCTCACTCTAAGAGAGATAAACATTAACTGTGGTTCTTTCAGTTTGATTCATGACTTGCAATAATGACATTCAATAATGGACCACTTTTATGTCTTTTCTCTTTGTCACAGTGAGGCTTACATAAATTAATGGACGAGTGGGTGAAGTGTTATGCAGCGATTTTGAAAATAAATAAATAAATTTGAGACTCAACAGAACAGCAGTTGATTCCATTGGAAACAGACTCCAGGAAGAGCGAAGTAGTCATGCAAAAATTTTAATCAGCCTTTCCGCAAGACTGAGTCCAAATCCACAAATCTAAAAATTTTATTTTATGCAAAATTTGCTGATCAGCATATGTATAGCTTTCACACACAAACCTCTGCGTGTGTGCGCAGCAGAATTTGCCGCCGTGGTTTTATTCAGCGTCATCTGCATGCAAATGATAAAAATGTGACAAGTGGATATAATTAGTGACACGATTTTAAAATAAAATCCATCCGACAGGCTCGGCAGCTACAGTGACGGTGCACATGTTAATTTGACTTTGTCAAAAAAAATAATGTCTGTTTTTTTTGGGGTTTTTTTGAAAGGAAAAAGAAAGATGAATTTGAAATGGGATGAGTCATTGACAAAGTCAATTGAGTCAGATGTTCATTCAAGCAGCTGGATGACAGCCAGTTGTACATGTGTAATGTAGAACTGTGACACAGTGGTTTCTTTTTTAGCTCTTCAGTGGTGGTGTCCACATTCTTTTTATACATCATCTTCATCCAATATGTCCACAGAAATACTCAAACTTGCTTTTCAACAATATTTATAATTAAATACCTCATTTTGCCGCAGCCAATAGCATCTATTTATCTATCTGTAAATAAAATGTACATATATTAGGGGTGGTGCAATACGATACTCATGTTTTGGTCAAAATGTTAGGATAAAAACTTCGAAAAAAAACCAACTAAAGCCCATGTGATCTGATACCTCAGACCAAATTTTCAAACTTAAATATTCGCGATCTCAGCCTCAGCACCTGATAGAGAGAAAAGAAGGTATTGGATCTATATCAGTATCGGCGTTAACAGTATTGATACCGAACGACACCGTTAACACCGATATTGATATCGACGGACACAGGTCCAAATCTCTAAAGAACTAAGATTTAGTAAATTAATTTCAATTAACTTGTTTTAAGGCTCACAAAATCAACTTTTGTGGTCGAAATAACAAGTTTGAAAGTGTGTCGTTTTGACCAAACCCATATTTTGCTGTACCTCATGACTGTACAGTTGCATTAATCTACAGTCTCTCTGTACTTAATGAAGTGGCCGTTGAGTGTGAAAAAAAAATCCCAATCACTATAAGTGAATGATCTAGGTATAAAGTGAAGTAATGATATTTGTGCCTCGGTGTAGATTTAATCCAGTGTGTTTGGACGGCACCACGGTCTCCAGACTGAAGAGCCGACTTGTTGGAGCAGAACCCACATTAAATTTGGGATCTGGCAGACGACAGTGGCTTCAGGTGTAAAAGTGTATTACAAGGAACTTAGATTTTATCTGCTGTGAAAACATGAGGTCTGAGACACGACGAGCGATGATAGGAACAAAAAGAACCTGACAGCAGCAATAGTGGAGTGTGCTGAGAGAGCCACACTGAGAGTATCACTGGCAGCAAGACAAAAACCAGTCATTTCTCCCAGACTCTGGTGACATTCTCACATTATGCAGTCATCATCATCGTCAGCTGCTCACAGCATGTCCTGATTCAGCGACAGCAGAGCAGAATTGGGGGGAGGAGGAGGGGGGGGGGGCATGCACATGAAATCTGAGAGTTGTCAGCTCGCACATACACAGCGTGAGCCGAGATGTTCTATACTGTAGCTCATATGACACACACACAGGAGGGGGAGGCTGAGGGTACAATGGTGAGAGGGGAGGACGGATGAATGGTGGGATTAGAGAAAATGAATGGAGCTGTGTTCAAAAGGAGGGGCGGGGGTCTGACACACTGATGGGTTGGGGTTTTTTTTCAGGGTTTCATACAAACAATTAATTTAAGCACCTGATGATCTGATCCTTTCCATTTTAATTATGTTAGTGTTTCAGTTGGCAGATGAGTGTGTGTGTGTGTGTGTGTGTGTGTGTGTGTGTCGCTGTAGCTGAGAGAGAATGAGGAAGAGAGAGAGAGATCATATTCATTCAAGTTTGTACGGTTGTGAGTTTGACTTACATCATGGATTAAACTGCTGGTAACAAACAATTTTCAGAAACTTCATTCAGCAAAAATGCGTCGGTAAAACAGAGAAATTCAAATCTCTTCAGATTTAGGTTAGATAACCCAAATTGAAGGAACTGACTTTTACATTTCATAAAACTCCCTAAAAACATATCACATATATGCACATACACACACAGACCACTCTTACAAACAAATCTGTTGTATGTGTTTGTATGTGTAATAAACACTATATTAGACATATTTCTATAATTTATATATCCACATTTAAACTCTGAGTAATAACCTGTTGGTGTGGTAAATACCCAGCTAATGTTTTCTCTTCTTTTTGGATGTGTTTTCATATTCATCAGCTGTCGGTCTCTGTGTGATTTTTCCTCCAAAAAACATTTTTCAAGGCTGAGTTAAAAAAGCAGCCAAAATATAATTCAGGTCCTTTTACACGGACCATCTCCAAACACTGATGCAAATGGGTTTGTGTTGTCCTCCTCACATTTCTCATTATGAAGCCAGAGAGGCTGATTATTCAAATCATTACTCCTAGCAACCACTTCCTCCATCCAGCAGCCTTCTCTGCTGTGTGTGTGTGCTGTGTGAAGCGGCTTGTATATGAAACGTGTGAGGCCTGTGCAGCACGTTTACAGGTCACTGTGGGGAGTTTGGGTAAAACAAACCTCATCCTCAGCCCCTGGCCCTTTTTGCAGTCTGAGAAAGTAATTTGATTGTGGATGGATCGGGGGGGGTGTCATTGATGGGTTTAAATGCAACATGGTTGAAGAACAAAGCAGAACAGAGGAGGAATGGTGAGGGGCTCGACCTGGTGATGAGGGCTTTTCTGCTTGGTGTGTGTGGATGAATTGGATGAATAGCAGATTGGTCATCTGGGGGTTTCACCTGCTAAAGTTTTCCATCTTAGGCTTCCACTCCTTTGTCCAATTCCTTTCCACTCCATCTGCCATTTGTCAAATGCAGCTGTTCACCAATTCACCCTCTCCTTTCTCCATCTTTTCTTCCCCACTGGTGCCGTCCCTTTTATTGACGTTCTCCCAGGTTCCCTCTGTCCAGGGCAGCCTGCTCCAAAGTCCTGCACTCTTTTACTTTCTCTCTTTCTTTTCCTCGACACATGCAGTGACGATACCTGACTGATTCTGTGTAAATTATTCATGTGTCATTGACTTTTCAAAAGCACAGAGGTAGAAGTGGAGCACTGCTGTCTCTTGCTCCTACACCTCTGTGACACTGCGCTGTGTTCCAGCCTTTTGTCGACACGGGCGGAGACATGTACTCCTTCAAACTCTGGTAGTGTCTGCAGTGTTGTTTCCCAGTGATTGCTACAAAACACACACTGTAGCAGTAGTAACATTGCGGCTGCTAGCGCTCCTGTGTCTCTTTCTACCCTCTGCTTCTTCCAGGCTCTTTCATAAAACGTTACTTGCGGCGGTGAATACAAAATAACACAAAATGACTCCGGTCTCCTACATAACCATGCAATGTTCAGGATGGACAGCTGCTGAAATGTGAATGAGAGAGGCTGAAATGAACCCATAAACTGTACATAGTAAATGGGCAAAGCTTTCTTGTTGCAAACTATTGTTGCAAAATGAAGCCCTTTTGAAAGAAATATGCCACTTGTTTCTTGAAGAACAGCGTGGAAATTCATTGGTTACTTCTTAACATTGGTTGAAGATATAACTGTTCAGTTTGACATTGCAAACCGTGATCCTATTTAGAGGGAAATTAGTGGTTAATGGCAACATAACTGTCCTGTGTCCTTGTTACAGGTTAAAACAGACCCTATTCTCTAAGGTGTGGACGTGTTGCCACCAACACTACAACCACTACATGGTGCAAAAAGGTTTGGGACCACTGACTTTCCAGCTTCTGATCACTGATAGTGTAATATAAACAGTACTAGTACAGTTTAATCTGTCCAGGAACATCCTCAGTGACTGAATGTTCTTTCTTGGGAGTTCCTTTTAAAACTTTACTGAAGGCTTCATCCAATGGATAAAACACTTGACAGTCTTCCTCTGAATACCCCTGTTACACCCCCTTTTACGCCACACTCACTCTCCATTTTTATCAGGCCGGGGTCCCTGTAGAAAATGGCCCCGTCCCTGTTCGTCACCCCACTCCCTCTACTCCTGCGGCTCCACTATCTTGTTCCCTGCAGCTCCTAATCCACATTTGTGGGTTCATTGCCGGATAAAGCCGTCTCCTATCTTTTCTCTTTATGGCAGGATTTACAGCTGTACCCGTTCATATCTTCCCTTTATCTCTCTCTTGATAGCTTCTCTCCTACAGTGCCGTAGCCCTCTGAGAACAGGAACTACAGTACTGTATCACATAAGGAAATCCCTGATGGTCTATAGAACAAACTGCCCACAGTTCAAGAGGGTCAAATGTACAGGAGGAACTGCCATATGTTTTTCTTTTGACACCAGTTTAAGAAGCAATGCATTGGAGAACATTTGAAAATGAAAAATTCAGGAGATTCTTTTTGTGAGTGAGGACATGTATTACCATTATGGTTTTGGTGCTCTTTTAAACATTTATGCTTTCATTCACCAAGTGTTGAAGGGGAATATTAAAAACACCAAGAATATTCTGTGGTTATAATGATATTTTGGCCCTTGGAGATTTTCTTTTTGCCATTTTCACGCTCTGCAGCTGCCACAGAATTT